AGTTTACCTGGTTAAGATCCAGCCCATCAGCATCTTCTCTCTAACAGACTGTTTGTGTGACGCCTTTGCCCAGCCCTGAATTGCGTCCACAGTGACTGAATCTGTGGGAGCTGCATTACCGCCACTCTGCTGCAGGACTCTTCTTCACTGGGGCTGCTACCTTTGATTCTGTGAAGCCTACCTGGATCTTCTGTGTCTCCATCTTCTGTGTTCTTGGCAGGGGAAATCCAGCTTAGAGGGAGCTTCAGGCAAAGGGTCCCAGGAAAGAGGAACCGTCTGGCATTTTGCAACAAATTTTACTGTCTTCCTGTTCCCAGAGGTGAAGGAGCTGGTGTTTAGTGTCAGCTCTGAAGGAGGGTTTCAGACAGCATGTTCAGTAAACATTACGACAGAGGCAATAGGAATGTTTTTGTGAGCAGATTGATGGAGGATGCGCTAAGGGACCTTTCAGACTCCAGTCATTCCCGCTATGACATTACGGGGAGTGCGGCGCCATCCAGGACGCCTGACCGGCTGTGTGTCACCCCCTCCCACTCTTGTGGGGGGGGGGGGGGGGGGTTCGCTCCTAATGGGGCATCAGAGGCTGCATTAACAAGGGATTAACAGCTGAAAATTATAAGGGCGCCTTTCAGCACCCCGGCCCCCACCCCCCGACTCACTCCACAAACAAATAATCGAATTGGTACAACTGTATGGAGTTTTGCAGAAGCTAATGTTGCCTCCCTGACTGTTTTTAGTGAGCAGGGGCATGAGTGCGGCTGCAGCCTTGGTGTTGCTTCCTCCCTGCCTCCCTCGCTCTCCTTCTCATCCCCTCAGTCTCTTAACAGGCCAGTAGGCGTCTCTCCTTTTGCTGGAGAGATCTGGAGAGCAGGATACGGGGCACAGCATGCATGGAATGGGGCCTGTCTGAAAGGGAGACTGGCAAGGGCATTTAGCAGATTCCGCTTGCGTTCTCAGTTTGGCATGGTGAAGAACAATATAAACTATGGCCATTATGAAATATTGAGCATATGTTGGCATGCCAGTTATTATATCCATTTTTACTTAGTTACTTTGATAATTTCATTTGGTTGGGCCAATCAGTGAAAAAAGTCAAATGTTTCAAATTTTCCAATCATTGCTGCCTTTTTCAGGTCATGTGACTGTGAAGTTTTACGTCTAATGATTTTAATATGGAGCATACATTGTAGGGGGCGGCTGCACTGGTCATGTGAGCAGGGGCCTGGCTTCCCCGTGCCCTGTGTTGGCCTCGGAGTCAAAGGGCTCCTTGAACTTGTTCCAAACCCCCCCCCCACCCCAGGGACAAAACCCAGCTAACCCGCAGCATCATGGTGTTGCCGCCAGACAGAGGTGTGCCACGTCTGCGCCAGCTGTTTATGTAACATTTACCAATTAGCCTAATTAAAATTAGCATGGAGAGTGTTTTGTATGCAAATGGGACATAAGCGGCATGTGTTCGCAGTGCATTATGTCAGCGTGTCGTGTATAAAAACAGCAATTAAAAGCGAGCGCTCTTACGCTCTTTGTTTCCCTTGCGTGCCGTCCCCTTCTGCTGAGTACCTCACCTCCTCCAGCCAAACACATCGCGAAGCCAACTTACACTCACTTTTACCAGCAGAAGAGCTCACACGCTGTTGTCTGACATTTCAAGCTGACGTTTACATATGTTCTCAGTCGAGGGTCAAAGTTCCCTCAGTAAAGACAGTGTGACGTACAGTACTCTGCCGTGTAATCTGTGTCATAGTCTGCTGGGTGACCTGGGGGGCTTGGTTGGCAAAGTGGTGGACAAAGTGATTAACCTACCTGAAATACCCAAGCGTGTTGGAGCTCCCCCTCTCTAGGCATGGTTTACAGAGACAGACTCTTGGCAGGGGTTCAGTCATTTACCTGTTTCTCTCAGCTCTGTTTACATCGCCCCTACTGCTCTGTTGCAGCGGGTGGCTCGCAGGGTGCTTAACCATTAGATGCCAGGCTGAGTTATCTCAGATGTGTAGCACCAGGAACCGGAGGCTCATGGGCTGTGAGTCCCAGAATGCTTTGCCTGAGCAGGATGTGTGCAGCACCAGGAACAGGAGGCTTATGGGCTGTGAGTCCCAGAATGTTTTTCCTGAGCAGGATGTGTGCAGCACCAGGAACAGGAGGCTTATGGGCTGTGAGTCCCAGAATGCTTTGCCTGAGCAGGATGTGTGCAGCACCAGTAACAGGAGTCTTATGGGCTGTGAGTCCCAGAATGCTTTGCCTGAGCAGGATGAGTAAGTAGCATACAGAGAGGTGGCATGTTAGTTAGTGACCAGTGAGAAAGAGCTGGTAGTGAGGAGTCCTGGATGAATGGATATAGAAGTGAGCTCTATACTCCACTCTGGACACAGTCATCCATTAAACAAATACATTTCGTAGTAGGACTGGAGTCCCCAGCCAGAAGAAGATGCTTAGAAGTTTGGTCTTCATACTCTGTTCCTATTGCCATGTTCACAGCAAGGGACCATGAGATGCATGCTGGGAAAAAACAATGCCCACTTTTTCACTGATAAGAAAACTTTTATCAAAGTACAGTTCTTTTTTGATGGTGTAATACAAGGGGGACTTACTTAACTAGGACAAAAAACACGCCTAACAGTCATCCTCCTCTGCCTCCATGTCAGGCTGTCAGAAAACAAGCGGAGGGTACAAACACAGATGTCAGGGGCTGCGGGTCATATTACACAAAAAGCACCCTGATTTCAGCGGAAAAAAGATTCATTTGAGGTCACCTTAAGCAAGGTTTTTGCATTCCTACACCTTGTCCAAATTTGTGCTCTATAGATTTGTGTTAAGACAATCTGTTTATTCTGAATTTAAGCCTCACTGTTTATATACGTAAAAGAATCCTAAATTAACATGCCTCACCATGTTATTTTTTTACTTCGATGCAGCCTTGCCAAAACAGACACTTTTTCCCCCTGTTGTATTGTCCTTGGTATTGTTCCTCATTAAATAAACGGTGCCCTGTAAACCTCAATAAACATCAAATCTATAAATTGCTAGGATAGTCTCGCAGCGTTTTGTGTGACTGCTCCGCTTTGATGAAAACTACTGGGACACAAACAGAAAAATAACAAGAGATTCCAAAGCAAACAGTCTCGTTTTGACTCTGAGATTAATTTACTGGAATCCCGTTCCGAAAAAGGAGCGCAGAGAGAGACAAAGAGATGAGAGGATCGACTGATATCTGTCAGGCCGAGCCTCCGCCAGCCATCTCTCCCAGGACCGAAAATGTGACAATTATATGAGGCCGTGGCTTTGACGTGGTTTTCATAGGCAAACGGCCGCGGTGAATCTCCAGTCCGAATATCCACCCAGCTAACAAGCTCCTCTACCGTCCAGGGCCACAGAAGAAAGGGGTCGCAGACAAAAGGACGGATGCGAAGGCAGAGCTAGGCCAGCTGAAGGAAACGGCGACGGGGACTGAACCAGCCTCCGAATCACCCCCTGTGTCTGGTTTCCACTGTCAGGTTGCCCCTAACCCTCTTTTTACCTGTTAACTAGCTGCCTCGACTTCTCCCGCCTCCACCACCCTCACTACACCCTGTCTGTTCACCCCCCGGTTACCTTGCAGCTACTGATGCTCTGGCTCTGCTCTTGACCTGCCCCCCCATCTGCATGTCATCTGACAGGCCTCACAATAGACGTACAAACTCATTAAGGATATTCCTGAATAGGCAGTAACAAATTAGGTTCTTGTTTTTTACCTCCTGGTTACAAGTATCAGTTATGATTTTGGCTGTTTCTTGACAGGGGTGGTCAAACAGTCTCGGGTCTTGTTAAGGGCTGCTGACCCCCAAGGAACCTGCCGTGGATCTGTGGTGGACAAAGGACTCTGACCCCCAGAACTGTGGCCAGCCTGTCCAGGTGAAGCCCCTCCCCACGACTGCTGGGGCCCCCGTCGAACCCCCAGCCCAATCTGTACAAATTACCATGGCAAAGGATACTTTGGTACCGGGTTTGGGCAAACATGGTACCGAGCAGCATATTACAGAGGCTGCTTGCGTAGATGATGCTAGTAATGATGGTTTAGTGGGCAGGGATGTGGGTTATTATCTGGAAGGTTGCTGGTTCGAGTCCTGAGGTTTGCTGCTATTTCACACTTAACCTGAATCGCTCTGGTTAAAAAGCCAGCTGGCAAAACCTGGAAGTTGCCTGAGACAGGAGCTGGATGCCTGTGTATAATTTTGACTTCACTCCTATCGTGTGACAGTTATGACCTGCAAACAGGTTTTCCCCACTCACCCTCATTATCCCCACAGCAGTGCTATGTTGTGGGAGTTATAAATGCTGCCTTTGAAAAGGACACATTCACCGTGGTGGAGAAACGGCCTCCTTTCAGAGACGCTCACCGTTCCCGCTTATTATCCCAGAGATCAGATCACTCACAGGGACCAGCAGCCCCGTCTCCCTCTCTCTCTCCCCCCTTTCTCTCTCTCTTTCTACTTACTTTCTCTCTATCTTTTTCTCTTTTCTCTCCTTTCCACTCCCCCTTCTTTCCCCTTACTTTCCTTTGCTCCTTTTCTCTCCCATTTCTCCCCTTTTCTCTCTTCTTTTTACCCCTTTTCTCCTCTTTCTCTACTCTTTCTGCCTATTCGTTCCCCTATCTTTCCCATTTCTCCCCCTTTTCTCCTCTTTCTCTCTTCTTTCTCCCCCTTTTCTCCCCTCTCTCTCCCTCTCTCCCTTTTCTCTCCAGTATGCCATAAAACACACCTCTTGCTAAATGGAGATCCTCACACACAGTGCTGAATGGAAACCTGTTACTCAGTCAGCCTTTGGATGCGTGTTACAGCCTTGCCGGGAGACGTCTCCCCAGCACATAATTTATAAAGTACACCACTCTAGAAAATTGCATTGCTTGTGTGTAATGCAGGGTCATAACAGAACTCTGTGTGTGTGTGTGTGTGTGTGCGTGCGTGTGTGTGTGTGTGTGAGTGTGTGTGTGTGTAAGTGCGTGTGTATGTATGTGTGTGTGTCCACATCTGTGACTGCCTGTGTATGATATTGAATTGCAGGATTGGCACAGGACATAATGAAACAACCTGAATATTTGCAAATTAAACATTCACAGGTGAATAATTTTGCAAAATTGAACTTCCCTGCATGAATATTTTATTTAAATAAACAGCACTTTGGCAATTTGGAATTGCCTGCATTGTAAAATTAGTTCCAAATGCAAAACTTACAGTTAAATTGATACAGTAACTTGTTCTGCTGTCGGCAGTGGTATAAATAAACATATAACCTTCTGGTAGTGTGGGGGGGAAGGGGACAGTTAATGCAAGTATGGGTCACCAGCTGTGTCACCTCTGTGATTGAAGCACAGTGACAGGGTAGCGGTTAAGGTGCCAT